ATTTGATTTATTAGTTCAGGGCGGTTTTTGGTGTTTTTATTTTGGAGGGCTTGTGGTCCACTGAGCGAGTCGGTAAGTATTAGGATTTATTGTTGTTTTTTAGATTGTTGATTATGAAGGGCTGAGGCCATGCCCATTAGTTCGGCCGTGAATATTGATTGGTTGTTTGGGAGTCGGTAGGGTTTTGTGGTTTTAGTTGGTTGTGTGGTATGGACTCCGAAACCTGTGTGTTTGGAGGTCGGATCTGAGGATCCGTCTGTGTAAATGTGACAGCAATTTGGCCAGTTTTCATGTATGTATCCTAGTGTGGTGGTTTTTGCTATGTTTGGGTCGGTTTGTTAATTATTGTGCTAGCTAGTGTTATGTCTGTTTTGGGTGTTTTAAGTTTTGGGGTGAAGATATTTGATTTTTTACAGTTTTGTTTAAGATTGTTTATTTGGTGTTCATTTAAGTAATTGGTTATTCTTTGGGATAATGGAGTAAGTAGAGGGTGTTTTCGAGCTAGGGCTGGGTTTTTGGGGCTGATATTTTTGTTTATTAGGTTTTGGATTAGGGGGTTTAATTGAGACGCGGCCCAGAAATTTAGGGTAAATTGTTCCCTACGTAGATTTAGTGGCATTTCTCCTGTTAAGGCCTGGAGTGAAGTGTAGGAGGTGCCATGTTGAGTGCGTGTTATTAGTTTTAGAGCCTGATATTTTATTGAGTCTAGTTTTTTGCTTAGGGATTGGTTTAGGGTGTCGTATATGGCACATCCGTAGTCTATTTTAGATCTAATTAGTGATATATAGAGTGAGAGGAGGGTTTCTTTAGAGGCCCCCCAGTTTGAGCCAGTTAGGCATCTTAGCGTATTTAGATCTTTGCTACATTTAGTTATTAGATTATTTATGTGAGCGTCCCAGCAGATATGTTCATCGAAATTTAGTCCTACGAATTTGGTTTGTTTTAGGAATTGGATTGGTTTGTTGTTTAGCTGGAGTTTTGGGGAGGCGGGTTTTATGTTTTTGTGTTTAAATACTATTCCTGTAGTTTTTTCCGAGTTAAGGGAGAAGCCCCATTTGTCAGCCCATTGCTGTATTTTGTTTAGAGATTTTTAAAGTAGGTTTTGGGCCATTTTAATGCTTTTTGTGCGGATCCAGAGGGCTCCATCATCCGCGAATTTAGATGTGTTTATTTTAGGGGATAGGCCCTCGAATAGATCGTTTATCATTATATTGAAGAGTGTGGGGCTGAGGATACTGCCCTGGGGAGTGCCATTTTCTAGGGGACATTGGTCCGATAGCGTTTGGTCTATACCCACGGTTATTTTACGATTGTTTAGGAAGTCCTTGATGTAGTTTATTATTTGACCTTTGAGTCCTATTTCTTGTAGTTTTTGTATTAGTCCGTCGTGCCATACCATGTCGAAAGCTTTGGAGAAGTCTAAGAAGATGCCTGTAGTATATTGTTTGCTGAGTTGTCCTGTTTTAATGTCCTGCTCTAAACGGGCGAGGTTATCTAGGGTTGAGCGGCCAGGAGTGAAACCACTTTGATCTGGGTTTATGATGTTATTTTGAGTTAGGTAATGTTGTAGTCTGTTTTAGCCATAGATTCCATTACTTTACATACGTTTGAAGTTAAGGAAATTGGTCTATAGGAGTTAGCCTGATCAGCTGGTTTATTAGGTTTAGGGATTGGTATGACTAAGGCCTGTTTCCAGGGAGTAGGTGCTTGTCCGTTTGCCGCATACAAGATATTTTATGTTTCACATATGCGGCTAACTTACTTCCGTACTTACTTTGGAGATTTAACTTGCGCTTTCCGACTGATGCGTATTTCGCACACGGGCCCGGTCAGGCCATTTAATGTGTTTCCGAAAGGGGCGAAAGTGGTCTGTGCAACCCGAGAGGGAGCTTTAGGGTTTGCTTATATAGAATTTGGGAATTTTAAGATTTGGAATAGATGCCGATGGGGTTTGGGAGGAGAACTAAGGGGGCTGGGTATGGCTAGCATCTCATAAATGGTCGAGTGAGTGGGTGAGTGAATATGGCTTTACGCCGCTTTTAGCAATATTCCAGCAATATCACGGCGGGGGACACCAGAAATGGGCTTCACACATGGTACCGATGTCGGGAATCGAACCCGGGTCTTCGGCGTGACGAGCGAACGCTTTGACAACTAGGCTACCCGACCGCCCCCATAAATGGTCGAAGACGCCCTTATAGACGATAATACTTACAAACTTGCAACGTAAGTAATTCCAACGTTATTAATATATCACTCAGTAAACCAAAACTGTTATGTTATTTGGTTATATTGATAAAATAACAATATTTTTTCGTAATAACTGTTGAAACGGCTTCAAGGGACCCGTGAAACTTTTTCCAACGTCCTTGGAAACAAATTGTCCAAAATCTTAAAGTATTTCCGCAAAGAAGCTTCAGATATTAGCTTTGACCCTTCATGCCTACATTCGACGTTTTTGAGTCAGCGAGTGAGTATGGTTTTACGCCGCTTTTAGCAATATTCCAGCATCATCACGGCGAAATCATCACCAGAAATGGGCTTCACACATTGTACCCATGTCAGGAATCGAACCCGGGTCTTTGGCGTGACGAGCGAACGCTTTAACCACTAGGCTACCCGACCGCCTCTCGACGTTTTTGAGCAGAAACAAACCATCCTTCCGGGGTGAAATGTCAGCGGTGTAGCGGGTCATGTAACCTTTTTCAAGTCGTCTGTCCCGAGAAAATGTTTACTCTTTTGGTGAGCTGTAGCTCCCTTGTCCCTGTCACTGCGGTCAAAGCGATTGGTGGTTTGGCATTGCCACGACAGGGGCTACATGGCTAAAATTACTGAAATGCAAGTAAATCTTCCCTCCAGGGGTTTGCCCAGCTCTTATTGCGACATCTTATAAAACCCGTAATGCAGGCGTCACACTGTCCCGAAATTGACACCAGATGGACACACGATAAAGGAAATGTTCAAATTCGGCTCTGATCGTAGAAACATCGGGCCATTCGTGAGGGCATCTTAAGCCATCGTATGACCGCCGGTGAAGTGTCTCAGCCCCGGCAGCAACTTCGTGAGCGGTGGCAAAATCTTTGGCATGCCAAAAAATTGCCGAAAGACCTTGCGAAGGTTCATTTTTCTTTTTGAATTCGTGTGTCCATATTGCCCTTCGTAAGGTCATCGTGAGGGCATCTTGTCAAATCGTGTCATCTTCGTCTTTACTTCGTGTGATCATCGGTGCCATCGGGCATTTTTCGCCCACGAAGACAATACGAAGGAAACAAGAAGCTGCCCGATTGTCTTAGGAAGGCAACACGACTACGTGAAGCCCACTCAATGCCGTCGTGTAGCCATCGTATTATAGTACGTTGACATCGAGATGGGACCAGGGTGTCGGCGAAGACAGCCGAATTTGAGTAGCTCAAGCGTTTCCCATGTGTCATGGTAATGTGGACATGTAAAAGGCCAGCCTCAGAGCATCTTCCTCAGTCAGTCCTGAGCAACTCTACAGAGCAGAGGCGTGTGTAACTCCCAAAGCTTCAATCACAATTAATCACAATTCAGTTCCTACAGAATGGCATACTTTGATGATGAGACAACCAGGAAAAAGAAGGCAGCAGCATTGCTTCTTTTGATGCACCTCAGAGAACGTGATAAGCAACTCTTACAGGCCCAGCACCTCCTCTTACAGGTAAAAATTGTCTTATTTCACTTTGTCATTTCTTGCTATTTGCACCGACTCCGTGGTCTTGTGGTAGAGCGTCCGCCCGGAGAGCAGAAGGCCCGGGGTTCGATCCCCGACCGCATCATACCAAAAGACGTTAAAAGATGGTACTTCATGTTACCCTGTCTGGCGCTCGGCATTAAGGGGCTAACACAAGGACTGGTCGGCTCGGAGTCAGTATACTGTGTCTGTGTGGGGTATTCATGTTAAACTGCGGCATGGTATCTCAGTGAGCTTGCACTATAAATTTGCATCAGTCCAGACTAGTACAAGCAGCCACACAAACACACACACACGTACATGCACGTCGCTATATAAGTACTAAGTATACTACAACTGAAAAGTGGATCGCCATTGCTGAGCAGTTTGAGAAGAGATGGCAATTTCCACACTGCTGTGGTGCTCTGGATGGCAAGCATATGGCGGTCACCTGTCCTTGGAATACTGGCTCTGTGTACAGAAACAACAAGGGCTTCTTCTCCATTGTCCTCATGGCCCTGGTCGACGCAGACTACAAGTTTCTCTGGATTGATGTCGGCTCTGATGGTTCCAGCAACGATGCCAGTATCTACAATTGGTCAGAACTGAAGGAAGGCCCGGAGAGCCCAAACAACATATTCAATCTCCCTGAATCTCTTCCTGGTGATGACATTCCTGTCCCATGCTACATAGTAGGGGACAATGCTTTTGGGATCAACAAGCGCCTGATGAAACCGTTTTCAATCAGAAACATGGAGCACCATGAGAGAATATTTAACTACATACTCTCCAGAGCCAGGCGTGTAGTGGAGAATGCCTTTGGTATTCTGACCCACAAGTTCCGAGTTTTGCTGATGACCATGAACCAGAGGCCAGAGACATGCAGAAAAATCATTACAACTTGTGTGATCCTTCACAATCTCATCAGACTGAGATATGCAGCCACCCACAACAACCTGATGGACTTGGAGGACCAGAACCAGAATGTCATCCCAGGGGCATGGAGAAATGACAAAGTACTTCTGGATGTTTACCATGAGAGGGCAAGGAACACTGGAACCCAGGAGGGGAGGCAAATTAGAAGATACCTCAAAGGCTGGTTCGGTGCCATGACAGGACAAGATGATCATGTAATTATTCCCACAAAGCAGTGGCAGTAAAATGAATACAGAGACACTAACATTTTGATGATGAACAAATTATTTTCACATATTGCATTGTAATTTAAAGCAAAATGTGTATGGAGTAATAAATTTTGTTTTTGAAATTTTGATTTTGAAAGGCCCAACATTTAGATAGTTTAAAAATCTCAAGTTTCCAAAATGTAAAGTCCCATACAACTTTAACATAGAAATTAAAATAAGTAAAGGATAAGTAAAGTAAGGATATCGGACCAAAAAAAGAACAAAGTGACAATTTTTATTATATACAATCTCAAGTTTCTTTGTGATATATGCTGCTGAGGAGGCTGAGAAGGAAGTTGGACGAATGCAGCCTGGCGAGGAGAAGGTACGTAGCCCTGAGTAGAAGTGCTGACTGGCTGGAGAGTATGGCACTGCTGCTATTGCTGTTGTTCTAAGTTGTACTGCTGGTTCGCCTGCTCTACGTAGCCACACTCCTGGGATCTCCACACTGATGCCGGAGGTGGGGTCTTTGGCCACTGCCTGGGACCTGGCTGCTAACGGTGAGGAGGCAGCTCTGCTGGCGGTGTAGTAGGTACCGCTGGGGAGGGCACTCTCCTGTTGAAGTTGGCTGGCTCTTGAGTAGGTGGCAGATGTGCAGACTGGGATCACAGCAACTGGCCTCTGCTGCTGCGACTGAAATGCTGACGGGACATCTTGTAAGGGACTGATCTGGTCACCAGGCGCTTCCCTCATCCTGAACTGTCTTGACACCTTCCGGTAACTGGAAAGACAAAAGCAAACATCATAGGATTAATACAAGCTCAAATTTAGCATGCAATAAAATTTGTGACATCAAATAAATGAATTTCAAATCTATGCAATTTTATATACTTACTGGTAGTCATCATGCAGACGATCCATTTCGGTTTCCAGGTACTTGCAGAAAGGAGTGGCCCTGTTGACTTGCTTCTCTCGAGTGATGAACTGAACCAGCCTATCTTGGAGATCACGGGATGCTCCGGTAACTCTCATCTCCATGGTAGGAGACTCGGGTCGGTCCTCAGCAGCTGTTTTGGTCCTGGAAGGAGGTCTCGGTGTAGGGTAGCCAGTGTACTTCTTGGTGGGCTCCCTGGGTTCGTCTGCAAGACTGCCTGCCATGGTACTGTCGTCACTCCCAGCCAGCTCACCCGTCTCAGCCAGGGCCAACTTGTCCTTAAACTGCAAAGACAAAAATAGAAAACAAACATAAGTACATTTGAAAGTTATATTTGGAGCTGACTCATCTGAAAAGATACCAAATTGAACAAAGATTAAGCACATGCAGGACAACAATGTATGGGACTATATAACAAAATCAATAACCCTCTTGCCCCCAATCCATACCAAAAATAAGTTATTAATATTTACCTTCATCATCCGAGGATTCGGGCTGTCTGTTACGAGGAGGAGGGGGAGAAGGTGAATGCTGCCGAAAGTCCTGGGACTGCTGAGGAGACCAGGAACCCCCTGGGGACCGCTCTGGAGTTTTACTTGGACAAGGACTGACATCTTTCTTCGATTTCCTCCCCCTTCTCTCTCTGGTTGGAGACTCAGTGCTGTCTTCTTGGACCTCTAAATCCTCTAAATCCTCAAATCCCCAAATTCCTCTGCTTTCCTCTTCTGAGTTCTGTATTTAACAGCCCGCTTCTTCCCTTTGCCTCTCCCTGCCTTGGGTGGCATGTAAAAGTTGAATTAAAGTTGAATTAAATTTGAATTTAAGTTAAAATGTACTGTGTGTTCTCCTCCCAATAATCTACGATCAGCAATTGAATTTCCCACGGTCGGCCGCATGTGTTATACCATCGGGAGGTCACGTGACGCCTTCGTGACCTAGTTCGAACGCATCGTACTCTCAATACGACGTCGTGTAGCCATCGCGTGGCCTTCGTGTGTCCTTCGGGTGTAAACTTCTATAAAAAAATCACATCTTGGTGTTGCCTTCGTGTGTAGTTCGGGTGCCATCGTGTGACCTTCTGTAGGCATCGTACTTGCTTCGCCTGTTGATTGGTTGTTGACCAAGTTCGGGGCCATCTTCGCGCGAAATTCAAAATCCCATATTCGTATGGCCATCTCGTGTTAATTTCGGGACAGTGTGACGCCTGCATAAGGGTGTACAGAACTGAACCTTTGCATGGAACACACAACTGACAGTATCTATCAAAACAAGTCAAGTTTTGTTTCCCTGGCAACCTAACATAAGAAGTTTCAGAATGAAAGATCAAAAGTCGAATCCAATATTGTTCACTCAAAGGGACATTTTCGAACGCGTTTAATGATAATTGTGATGTTGGATGAACGGAGATTTCGAAACTTTATCGTCTGTTCGTTTCAGAGAAGAAGATGTTGTAAGATATGTACTCAGAGACTGTTCAAAATGAACACAGCTTAAAGACAATATGGCTGCCGAAGTGCATGACCTGTTACGTCAAAGAACAAAAAGACTGGCATCTGATGCTGCTAAAACGTGCCACGTTTGGCAGTTTTTGGAAGAGCTGTTGTGGGGCAGTTGGATAAAGAGTGTCGTTTTGAAAGGATTGATTTTGAATTATCTGCCCTTTGTCCCGACACCTATGAAGTTTGATGTTTTATATGCACTGATCCTGGGTAGGGGATTTATATTTGGTCACATTCAGACAACTGGTTCTTGGTTTCATTTAAAAAAACAGCGGAATATTAATACCAATAACAAATCGAATAAAGTACAATAGGGTTTAGAATTAGCGTTTCTGGCTTGGAACCCCAATTATGAATTTAGAAAATAGATTATTTTGTGGTGCGCGCTGACTGACACCAGGCCCATAGACAAGTTCGGTAGTTCACTGGCAAAGATAGAGTGATTCTACATGCGCATCACAGGTGAAACCAGGGAATATTTCATTTAGGGATGATTATGGTTTGGCTTCAGAAAAGTTGGCTACTTTAGATGAAAGCACTAGAAACTACCAGAGATCACATATCAGTATAGTGACCACATTTCGGTGTAGCGTTCCCTTCTGTGGGACAATTGGGACACTCTAGACAAAGGCCAATGATAATGAATCGGCATCGCAACGTTGCGATAAAATAGGGGGTAATTAAAGTCACAGAGAAACTTTCCGAATTTATATAGATCATCTGTACTTCCGAACCTACGGACATATCACTTTCTATCGTATTCATCGAACAATTTTAAAAATGATGAATTCTTCTTTTACGATTGTTCTTCACGAAGCCTGTTTCGCCGATGATGAGCATAGAGATTTATATTTGAGGCGATTGCATGTATGGGGAAACGCATGTTTTTAACCATTAAACGGCCTCCATTTTTTTTATGAAGGAAGTCTTTGTTGTCACCATTGCGTTACCATAAGAACTTGCTATGCTCAAGACACTTGACCAGGCTACCTGTAGATTTATTTAACCCATCTACAATTAACCCCTCTATGCTCATCGTCGGCTACACAGTCGTAAGTGAAGAATTCATCATATTTAAAATTGTTCGATGAAACGAAAGAAAGTGATATGAAAATGACAAGTGATGTCTCTACTTATATTTAGGGGTTATATATGTTTAGTTTCTGACCAATAACGAGTTGCTGTGGGTATTTCTCAGACAACCAACTTGATTCCGATTCAGTTTCACTTTCTGAATATTATCACGGTATGATCTGGCCATTACTTTGTTTTGTTCTCGCTTTCCCATCCTTGTATGTATAAAGTATAGTTTTAGTCAAGAGAATGATATAAATGTTTCTATATTATTAGGAATGCACGTTAACCCGCCATCAGTCTTTGAGATAGCTTGCATGATGATATCTGATGAGAATCATATCCTCTAAGATTATGAAACACAACGGGGATGGGTATAGTTTTAGAATTCATTTTAAGTTTCAAGTTACAATCGTTATGCGCGGCTCCTCTGCAATTACCCGTGACGTGACAATGATCTTTTACAGAATCCCCATTCAGGGGTTTATTACAAACATGACAAACTTGTTGACTTCTTTATTTCCTCCAGATAAATCCGAAGATTCTCAAAACATCAAGATTATGTAATTAAATGATTAAGTAACAATAATCAAACCTATACACACATATATATAGAGTGAAGTGTTGCGCAGAAAACAGCTATACATATACATATGCATGTCACGCATATTTACAGGCATTAAACAGTGAGAAATATTAGGATATGTTTAATTTGATATAAATATTTTGAGAATTTACTATTAGTGAAATGCCACGTTATTTCATCAACGTCATTGTTATCTGCACTAAGAAAGAATGCTAACATATCATGGTCTTCTATCATCTCTATTTTAACATACATTTCAACATCAAGATTATCAATTAGAGTGGAAAAGAATACATCTCTCTCGCTCTGAAAGTAGACATTCACAGTTTAAGATGACATGGTGATAATAATCATGAGCAAAAGTATTACATTTTGTACATTTTTTTGATATTTTGTTTCTGGATCCAATCCGTATTACATACTGTATTTCTTCTCTCAATTCTGGATATAACATTACAATGCTGTATAACACGAGGAGTAAGAGTTGTGTGAATTTTAGAATATCGAGATAGGTCAGCTGTACATGATAGTTTATGTTTCCATACTTCTTCTTCGCGGGTAGTTATTTCATTTAACACAATCTTTCTCCATTGAGTCTTCGCGGAGAATTCCCCTGTGCGAACGTAGTGAAAAACATGATGAAGTAGCTTATATTTCTTGGCTGTTGAAAGCAACACACCACATAAGATGTGTAAATTATTTTTATGAAAGAAATAGAGTGAAGTTGATGCGCAGAAAACAGTTTTACAAATTGCAACACATGAGTTGTTGCAGTGACGCCCAAGCAGCTGTAGTCTACATTTATCTATATAGCCAACCAAGTCCTAGATTAGCAATAGTGGCATCAGTGGGGGGACGTTTGTCAAAACCTTGTACAATCCTTGCAAAGTAACGCTGTGTGCTTTCAGCTAATTCAAGATCTTTACCATGCAGAGGAGGCAGTAATTCACATCCATAAAAAACATGTTGTTAAGATCATTCTTTTCCATATCTGAATACTTGCATACTGATGTAAGTCACTACTATTTAGACCAACAAAGAGGAGAGAATAAATAGTACGCCTGGTTTTTGTGCAGCTCTCTTCAATATATAATTTGAAAGACAGATTACTTTGTAGAACAACACCCGCATATTTTACATTGTCATAATCCCCAAAGTGTTAAGCATGCGTACACAATAATTGCTTTTTTTTATGAAACACAACAATTTATTTTACTTTTCGATGCAAAGTTAATCGCCATTAGGATGCGTAATTAACAACTGTATCTAAGGCTGTTTGCAGACCTTTAGGGCTGTAACTGATAAGAGTAGTATCATCAGCAAGTAATACGCATGGTAAACTAACATTATATACTCACACGCAATAGAAACGCAAGTCGAGTATGCAGTATACATGTTATTTATTTTCAACAGTAAAGACAAGAAATACTAATAGGGCAAGATTGACAAAGGTTTGACTGAAGACAGTTTAATGGATTAAAAAGCAGATGACATAATTGTTTTTTTCAAATGTTGAGGGCTTACACAGTTTCGGGTCAATACCCAAAATGTCAGTCAATACCTGGTGTGACCACCATTAGCAATGATCACTGCCACACATCTCCTGTACATTGAGGGGATCAGACGATTTGTGAAGGCCCTAGGGATCCTCCTGCACACATCCAGAGCAGCTGTGCGTTGTTCATCTGCAGTTGTAGGGACTTGGCGCACATTGTGCAGACCCCTTTGAACCTCATCCCACAAGTGTTCGATGGGGTTCAGCTCAGGGATGAGGGCTGGCCACGGTAGAACACGGATGTTGTGTTGTTGCAGAAAGGCCATAGTACAACATGGGGACGAGCGTTGTCCTGCTGGAAAATGTGTTGTTGATGTTGTGCAAAAAATGGAACAACGTGGGGTCTGATCACTTGGTCGATATACCGCTGAGCAGTGACGCCGTGTCCCCGACCTTGACCAACATTCAGAAAGCACATGGGTCCAAGTCTCGCATTAAGTCCAATCCCTGTCCATATCATGACGCTAAGTCCACCCCATGGATCCCTTTCCACAACGTTTCTGTCAGCGAAACGATCACCTCGACGCCGCCAAATTCTGACTCTTCCGTCTGCATGGGAGACACAAAAGCAACTTTCATCAGAGAAGATGACTCGCCTCCACTCACGATGACGCCAGTTGCGATGACCCTGTGCCCAAGTAATGCTTGTCGATGCCGTGTTTGGAGAACAGGACAACGTGCTGGTTGGCGACATCTG